CTCTAAAATCCAGAAAAAGTCTGAAACATGTCTGGTCCAAGCATTTTGGATAAAGGATGCTCCTGCTGTAGTGTCTCCTGGGCAGGTGTTTCGTACCAGGCATTGCGGGGCAGGACTACTACCCAGAAACTGGTATAGTCACATCCATTCTGCACCTTGCTCCTTTAACCCCTACACTGCTGCCCCAAGGCCTCTTTCACTGAATCTCTGGCCCCAACCCACCCCCCTATACTATGTGGTCAAGAGAGTTACATCTAAGAGTACATCATTGTTACTTTGTATGCAAGCCACTGGAGTTTAGGTTTGTTTGCTACCTCTACAGGACTGGCCTGGCTGACTAGTTTGGAATTTTTCAAAGAAAACGCCTTACCAGAAACTAGGGGGACACTCCCAGTACCCCCAAAGCACAGCTGTGGTCAAATAAGTGCTATGAGGACATAGATGAGGTTGACCACTTTGGGGGCATCCCCTGGTCTCCTCTTGCTTCCACTCCATGTGGGGAAGTCCAGCAAGCTCTAATTCCAGGCCTGGGCCTTTCCCTTGCCCACTTCCTCTTCAGGCCACCCCACTGTAGTCACCCTGGCTATAGAGTCTCACATCCTAGACCCCCTGACACAATAATTTCCCTCAGGATTCTCTGAGAGGCTCTGTCATTGACCCCACTTCATAAACAAGGATGCTGGGGCTTCGTAAGGTAGAGTATCTTGCTCCTGGTCACATGGGATAGCAAGAGGCAGAGGTGGGATTTGAATAGGCTTAGCTTTCACAGTCTGCTGGATCCTGATGCCAGGGACAGCTGCATGCGTGCACGCGCACACACACACACATACGCGCACACACACACACGTGCTCGTGCATGCGGCGGGGTGGGGGAGGGGTGGCGATGGGGAGGTGAGCTATCATAATTGCCTGAGCAGAGAAAAAGACAGGCTATAGGGCTTGGGGCTTGCCCTGGTGGCAGACCTTAGGGGAAGGAGGTTTGGGGAACAAGAAGAGAGCAAAGTGAAACACAAACACATGGACATCATTATGTGTGTGGGAAATGTGTGGGGATAAGGACTGAAGAGTTGGTTTACATGGTGGACTTTGGTTTGGGTTTTGATTGTCATCTGAACAAAGCTGAGTACTGAATTCTTCGAAGCTTTAAACTGCAGAAGGAGGTTCTACCACATAGCCCAGGGAAGAAGAGAAGAGCCTGGGATGTTACCTGGCCTGCCCCTGAGTGTCCTGGTGTGACCATCCTGGCAGGAAGGAAAATACTTTAAAGAGACACGTGTGCCCTTCCCTTTGACCTATCAAACTATAGAAACAGTAGTCCCTAAGGAGTTGGAGTTTCATGCTGGGAGAAAGAAAAGGCCGGGGCCCCTGATGCCAGTTAGAGGAGGGATTTATTTCCTGGAAAGAGATTTCACAACTTGTCAGGGTCAGGCTGGAGTCCAAACAATGATGGGTCAGTGATGGGCAGGGCCAAACCTTGACCAGGACTGCTTGTTAGTTATACATACTTCTTGCCCTGTATTTAAACCTTTGTGTCAGGCTCTTGAAGATGGACCTGGACCTGGATATCTTTGTCCCTCTCCCGACACTGAGTACATCCTTTTCTCTGCCTTCACTAGCACTTGTCTACTTAACTGGCCTGTTGAAGACAGGTTGACCAAGCTGCCAGTGCCAGGCTCTGACCTCACCAAGTCTGGTAACATTGGTTTGTCCATCAGCCTCTGCAAAAATTTACTCAACCAAATTCAACAGATTCTGGACCTCTTGAAGTTCCCTCTGTGTATTTCCCTGTAAAATCCTGTTTTAGCAAAGATGCTGTTAAGTCAGCATCTGATCACCATCCACATCCCATCAAGTTTCTTACCCTCCCTCATCCCTGGGTGGGGCTACTCTGCCCGCCTTCAGCAAGCACCCCATTAGTTCATTCATCCACTGGACCCCATGCTGTTCCTTGACTACGAACTCTCACTTGCATGTGCTGAATGCATTGGGCCAGTTCTGTGCCAAGAGCAACTTCCCTTGCTGCAGTGGTTCTGAACTCAATCTGCTCTGACCCCTTGTAACTACTGTCCTGCTCTGGGAAATGGGGCATGAAATCAAACCGTCACCCTGGTTTCCAGGGGGTATATAGTATTTGTGGTGCGGAGACCTAGATGTGATGACCCCAAAGGCCGGAGCGGGCAGGTGGAAAAGGTGTATCTGACAAAGGAGCAGAGCAGAACTCTAGACAGCTGCTGGGTCAGCTCCACTTCCCCTCATCACCTCCAAGAAGCCTTGGATACCCTGTTCTAGATCAACACTCCTACCACAGGCCCCTGGGGCACCACACTAGCCCCTACCCTGATTACCTTCCTGATACTAGTGCTGAAAACTCAGGGCATAGTTGTTTTGGGGGAGTTCCTAAAAGCTGGGCGGTAACTGGTGTGCAGCAGGCTTGTCCCTGGAAAGCCTCTGCTCTCAGTAGCCCCTGGACTGCACTGCGGGAGGTGCAGTTAATCAACGGGTGGCCTGCTGATCATCTTTCTTTCAGGGTCACAAACACTCTCAGGTCTATGTGGCTGCAGAGACACTGCAGAGATCACTGTTCCCTGGCCAGATGAAAGAGGACCCAGGTTCTTGGGGAACAGTAGACACCTCAAAGAACCCTGTCCCTTCTGAGACATTAGCAGGTGCCACATAGTCTAGGTTTAGGAAAACCAGGGCACACTCTGCCTTCTGAGAACTCCATCCCCTTCCCTGCACTCCACAGCCTGGTCCCCAGCCCCTCGCTCTATCCTCCTACTCAAGGAACAAATTCCTAAGAGTTCTCTAAGATCCATGTGCTTTGTTTTCTGCTGGGCATATGGTTGAATAGTTGCCCAGTCTCCCTTGCAGTTAGATGTGGTCATGTGACTGAGTTCTAGCCAATAGAAGACAAGCACAGGACCACATCTACATCTTCCCAGCCTCTTTCCCAGTCTAAATGGTAGCATTGGACCCAAACATAAAAAATAGAGGTCACATGAAGAAGGTGGCATCTGTTGAGGGAGGGGGGACTCTGATGGGGGTAGCATTGGACCCAAACATAAAAAATAGAGGTCACATGAAGAAGGTGGCATCTGTTGAGGGAGGGGGGACTCTGATGGGGGTGGAATCTTGTATGAAGCAGAAACTAGCTTCTTGTAGTTTAAAGCCATTTCTTGGTATTGTGGCAGTTCCCCATGTTAAGAGATAATTACATTTCACTTCTGTCTCCTCCTTCTACTTCAGTTCACCAAGAGGCAAGCATTGTGTGTTCCTGCCACAGGGGGTGCACTCCATAACCATTCATCCAGTATCTAAGTGAGGGACGTGTTTTGTTCAGGCTGTATGACCTGGGTCTTTAGATAGACTTCTCCCAGCAGGAGAGGGAACCTGCCTGCTTTCCCTTTCTAGAAAACCAGAATTTACTGGGCTAGAACCTGTACCTTTACATCTTCAGGACCTAGACAAAAGCTTCCTCCTCTTAGATACCCTCTTCATCCTTCCCACAGGGGGGAGAACCTGGGCCCTCTGTCCCTTTGACAGGGGTCCCTCAGCAGTGACACCTGTCATACTACAGAGCAAGTGATGTCTGTCTGTCCTGTTTAAGCATAGTCCCTGCCCTCCAACCTGTTTGGAGACTCCCCAGGCCAGGACCTCCATCTTACTCATTCATTCTCTTCTGGTGTCTCAAAAAACAAGCATCTGAGAGTATTCAATGAAACTTTGTTTCTATTGTTTCTCTGCTAGTGATCAAGAGTAAAAAGCTTCTGGGAACACCTCAGATCCATTTTGTGTCAGCTGGTGCTCAGAATATTCCATGGATTCTTGTCACAGGTTTTTCAGATTTTAAAACTTAACATGTATATACACCGCCCCTGAGAGGAGGGGGAAGTTGGTCCAGATGGGTAAGTCTAGAGGCCCAGAAGAGGTCCAAACTTGAAAGTGTTTTTATCAGTATAGTCATCCTAGAAGCCACCTACAATATACGCAGTGGAGAGGCTGAGGTAGGAGGACTATGAGTTCAAGGCCAACCTGGGTTTCACAGAGCTCCAGGCCAGCATGGATTAAAGACCCTCCAATCAGTTTTCCCCTCAGCCTGACTCATCTTGTGCAGCTCTGTGCATACCCAGGACTTTTGCTATTTGAAGTGCTTGCCCATGTGAGCCTCACAAAGGCTCTGGGACACAGGCAAGGTGGTGACTATTAGTCCCATTAGATGGAAGAGAAATTTAAACTTCAGAAAAGTGACATGACATGACCTAGATTGTGGTTTGAGAGTACAGACTAAGATGTCACTGGTACCCAGGACCAGACAGCTCATTGCCTTTCTTTTTCTTCCCCTTCGTCATCAATCTTGTGCTCAGCAAATAAGAGAACTTGACTGTGGCCAGGGGGATGCAAAGCCAAGAAGCTGGGAGCAGGGCAAGTGGAAATTAACATTGGCTTTTTGTTGTTGTTAATGATTTTTTAAAAATCTTTTTAATTTATTTATTTTTATTTTATGCATATGAGTGTTTTGCCGGCATGTATGTAAGTACAGCCATGTGTGCAGAAGAGGGTATCAGATTCCCTGGAACTGGAGTTAGCTGCCATGTGGGTGGTGGGAAACGAACCCGAGTCCTCTGCAAAAACAGTGTTCTTAACTGCTGAGCCATCTCTCCAGCCCAGATGATATATTGCTTTTTTTTTTTCCCCAAGCACAGGCTCTTTCTATGTAGCCATTTTTGACCTGACACTTACCCTGGGCTGGCCTTGAACTGGTGGCATATTTTCCTGCCTCAGTCTCCTGAGGGCCAGGATTGTAAGCCTGTCTGACAAATTTCATTTATTTAATATTTTTTTGAGTGATATGCTGAGTTTAAAACAAGCCTGGTCAGCTTAAAGACTTTTGTTTTTCTAATTTTAAACATGGGGGACTCAGAGAGGAGGCTCTGTGGTTAGCAGGTGTCACTGTTGCTGCTGTTGCTGGTGGGAGGGGAGAAGACAAGGCAAGAACTTACTGGATTTTTCTTCTTTAATGGGGTACTCCAGCACCTCAGAGGAGCTGTCATTCAGGGAAGGGAAGTGAACACACAGCACCAGGCAGTTCAGGCTGCTGTCCCGGCGCACCAGGAACATCTGAAATGGCAGAAACAGTGGCTCTGTGAATCGGGGGCTTGAGCAGAGGCAGGTGGACAGTACTGGGGCAGAAACCATCCAGACAGCCTCTGAAACAAGGACTCATAGAAGATGGTCATGCATCCCTTGGGAGAAGTGGGCCTGTACCCCAGAGCCATGGGGACCTGGCCCATGTCCAAATCAGGGCTCCTCTAGTCTCAGTTTCTCATTTCCACTGAGCAGATCAACTGCTGATGCTTTTAGGTGTGTAGACACAGCACACGGGGTGGGGGTGGGGCTCTACATTAGAGTGGTCCAGGGTTCATGCTCAGAACAGCACTGATGGTCAGGAGTTGGGTGAATTTCAGCTCATGCACTGGTACCAGCTTTGGGGAAGGCTGTTGGAAACAATCACAGTGTCAGAAAATTTGTACTATTTTTCCCCTGCAAAAACAAAAATAGCGAATGAACGCCATGGTATTGGAGATTTGAAGTAAGGCCTCATGCATTCTAAGTAAGCACTCTCCCACTGAGTTACAGTCCCAGCCCTCTTTTTATTCTTCATTGAGACAGGGTCTCACTCTGTAACCCAGGCAGGCCTTGAATTTTCAACTGCCCTTCCTGTGTAGCTGGGGTGATAGACCTTTGCCACCAGGCCCTGCTGAAAATAGCTATATTGTCTATGGAGCTCTCTGTGGTGGGAACTGTTGGGCTACATCACATGTCCTCACTGATTCCATTTTCTCTATCACCCTGTGGTGTGGGTTTTTATATCACTCCCATTTTGCAGGTGAGGAAACTGAGGGACTCCATGATTGTTTTTGCTCCCTCAGGAGGGTGTGGTGAGTGAGTTAATGTCTGCCTGGGCCACAGAATAACTCAGGAAGGTTGGCCTAATAGAGCTTCTCAGCAATGAAAGGCAAAATAGGATCCAGCCTCAGGTAGCTGGCATGGATACTCAGGACCTTAATGCTGCACAGGCTCTCTACACTGACCCCCAACGGCCGCTCCAGAGGCTTTCTTGTGCTGTGGATTTCCTGTGAGCTAATAGAAGGACCCTCTGGGCCAGAGGACGGGTGTCTTAGTTTGTTTCTTCATTGCTGTGACAAAACACTCTGACCACTACCAACCTGGGGAGGAAAGGGTTTATTCAGCTTACATCTCCCAAGTTGCAGTTCTTCAGGGAGCCCAAGGTAGGAACTCAGGGCAGGAACCTGGAGGCAGGAGCTGGAGCACAGGCCATGGAGAAACTGTGCTTACTGGCTTGCTCCCCTAGCCCCTGCTCAGTCTTCTTTCTTATGGAACACAGGCCCACCTGCCCAGGGGTGGTACCACCCACAGTGGGCTGGGCCCTCCCACATCACTCATCAAGAAGATGCCTCTCAGACATGGCCACAGGCCAGTCCAATAGAGGCAATTCCCCAATTGAGGCTCCCGCAACCCAGGTGTGTCAAGTTGACACTAAAGCTATCCAGCACAATGGGCATATCTGTGTTCTACTAATCTAGCATAAGTCAGTCACTCACAGCTCAGAACAGGAGCTGCTATGGACTCCTGGGCTGTGCCACTCTGAATCAGGCAGTGACTTCACTCTGGGTGGTCCCCAGTGGCAGTAGTCTCCTGGAGGCAATTATACAGAAGTGCCTCTCCTTGCTTGCAGCTCTGTTGTTTTACCATGTCCTTTGCAGGCTCATTGGCCCTGCCCAGGCTTATCTCTCCTTCTCAGGTAATGGCTTCTGGAATGTCCCCAGCCTCCTGGTTCACAGTGTCCAGGGAAGGGGACAGGCCTGGTTAGCATCTCCACTCCTTCCATTCTCATTCTGCCTTTGGATTCCATGTCTCCTGGGCTTGGGTCCCAAGGGCTTGGCTGTAATTTGCAAGACCAAAAGAGTGGCCAAGCTGTTGAGAGCTGGCTGGGGAGCAGGGTCACTCAAGCATGGCCCCAAGTGTGGGGGGCTCTAGAGGAAGCTTCTTGTTAGGGTCCAAATTCAGCTGCTACAGATCCTGGTCATTAATCTCACCATGACATTGCCACATCATCTTAAAGTCTGAATACAGTATCGCTAATAAAGCAGGCAGAGAGCTACTACCGACCCATAACAGTTGGCATGTACTGCCTTTCCAGTCGGCCCCAAGCTTAAACCTCAGAGTGCCTGGGATTCCCAGGACTCCAACTTACTTCTCCTGTTAAATCTATGGGGGATGTGCTTATAAGGAAACTGAGGCAAAGAGAGGCAGGTAATACTTGAGACGGTACAGGAGGAGATACTAGGGCTGGGTTTGACTGGATCCCTGTGCGACCTTTGCCCTCCTTGTCATGATTTTGAGGGTTGGCTCTCGGTGAGCATTCCTGGCCCTTCTGGATGTGAACCGAGGTGGGAAAGGAAAGAGCAGGTTCTCTCCATGAGCCTGTAGAAAAAAGGAGCTGCCTGCCAGTCGGCCCATTTCTAGAAGCTTCCATTAGACTTTGTTCCCTGCCCTGCCCAGAGACAATGCCTGTGTTTGGTGGCAGACTCCATCCTCCACATTATCAGGAACTTAAACCATCCCTGGGATGTCTTTCAAACAAGAGGTCACTTTGTTTCTTCCACAGAGGTTCAAGGTCAACTTGTCTCACTGCCTACCAGCCCCATGGGAACCAGCGCTGTTGGAGGAAATGCATGTGAATGAGCGTGTGTGTTGTGTGTATATGTGTGTGGGTGGGGGGGTGTCATAATACGAAATACAGCTGTTCTTTGTTTCCAGTTCTTGGTACAGAGCTTCAAAACCCTGGGAACTTCCTGAGGGAGGGATATCTCATTCCTAAGGACCCCTTCTGATGAGGGCTGGGGTTATCCTAACAGGAAGCTCCTAGGCTCTTGGTTCAGAAGAGGGACTTGGTTCAGAAGGATCTTAAAGCCCTTCCCTGACCTTGGAGAAGGTGAGCAGGCCTGGGGTGGGTTCCCTTACACCAGTCTGTGATTTCAATCAAGCCTAGGCCATGACAAATTAATAAAATGCTCCTGACCAGGTGTAGTTTTGCTGCACATGCTACAGTTTTGATACTCAGGAGGTAGAAGGCTCAGGAGTCCAAGGGCAGCCTTAGCTACATAGTGAATTCAAGGCCAGTCTGGGGTACATGTCGCTTCAAAAAACAAAAATCAAGGAATCAAGGAAAACATCTCATTGGGCCCGATATGAAGGAGGAAGATGGGCCTGCTTCTTCTGGGAGGGGATGCTGGAGCTTTGTCCCCTGACACATTTTATGTCTCTTCCATTTGGCAGTTTCCAAGTAGATAAAACCATAGAGATGACACTGGCTGTGAGTTCTGTGCGATAAACACAGGGTAGCCATGCTGGACAGAGTATGGGTAACCTAGGGGAGTGTGGGTAACCTGTGGGAGGCATCTAAGGGAAGTCATATAGGGGATCTTGGCCTTTAATAGGGAGTGGGGTACGAATTCCAGGTAAGATATGTGGGTCTCTCCCTCCCCTCGAGGGCCATTGGCCACTGGTCCACGAGGACAAAGGGAGCAGAAGCGACGAACAGGTTCAGGACGGCCAGTGAGCATGATGGAAAAAGACTTTCCGGGGAGGCAGATTCAGTGATACAGCTCCGTTTATTCAGTGGGGGTCAGGGAAAATATAGTGTGGAGGCAGCAGCCAAAGCTTCAGCTGATAGGTGCTCATAGTATGCTTTATTTACATGTGGTAGGGGGATCCTGTCATCCGACTATAGGGCAATGCCTAATTATCATATAGAAAAAACCTGGGGGCAGCTTTATTGCAGGTAACTATGCCAAAGGTCACGTTCCAATGGTCAGGCATCTGTGCTTGATGGCACTTTCCAGGTAAGTCAGGCAGAGAGCAGGAGGCCCCCGCTGAGAAAGGGAGTCCTTCCATATAGCGCCGAGCCCCTTAGAGGGGCTACATGGAGGACTACAACCTTAGCAGCAGGGTCCCCCAACAAAGATACAGGCTGAATTGCTGTACCCGACCTGGAACTGGTGATGAAGTGTGTGTGTGTGTGTGTGTGTGTGTGTGTGTGTGTGCGCACTATAGTTTAGATCTTAAATGTCCAGATGGCTATAGATTTCATCCCAAGTGGTGCTCTTGGAAAGCTGTGGTACTTTAAAAAGGAGAGGCTGCAGGGTTGGAGAGATGGCTCAGAAGTTAAGAGCACTGGCTGCTCTTGCAGAAGACCTGGGTTTGAATCCCAACACCCACATGGCAGCTAACAATCATCCATAACTCCAGTTCCAGCAGATTCAACAGCCTCTTCTGGCCTCTGCGGGCATTGCACAACATGGGTGCACTTACATACATACAGGTATAACACTCATACACATAAAAAATTAAAATCAATCAAAAATTTTTTTTAGGTAGAGGCTGAGTGGAAGGTGTTCAGGTCACTGGGGTCAGGTCACTGGGGTGTGCCCTTGAAGGGGACAGTGAGGTCCTTGCCCTTTCTTCTTCATCCCTTGTGCATCCTGGCTGTGAACTGAGTGGCTTTGTTCTGTCACCTCCTCCCACAGTGGTATGCCACCATAGGTGCAAGCAATGGAGTCAACTGGTCACACACTGCCACCTCCTTACCTGTGAGCCAGAGAAACCTTTGGTCTTTATAAAGTGATTATCTCAGGTATTGTCAGACTGAATGAAAGCTGACTGTCCTAGTGGGAGTGTAGCTGTGTGTGAGTATATAAATGCACATGTGTGTGTGCATGCATGCATGTGCAGACTCTGGAGTGCTCCACTCCCCACTGACCACAATATGTGAAGAGAAGTCAGAGCAGGAGCCAGGTGAGCACCTCTAACCCTTGAACCCGAGCCAGGATAGGAGCAGAGCTGGCATCTGCCTGACCTGAACCCAAACCAGAGTTTCTGTCTTTGCTGGGTCAAAAAAAATCTTTAATATTTATTTATTTAGTGTGTAGCGTGTATGTGGGGGGGGCAGTTCAAGAACATGACAGAGCTGACTCTGCCTACCTTCTAGGGTCAGAATGGCACGGGAAGTGAGGGCAGTGTTTCCAAACTGTGGG